GTAGAAAACACACACACACACACACACACACACACACACACACAGTATTAAAGGTTTATAGTGATATATTTATTTTAAGGTTTTAGTGATATAGTGATATCTCATGAAGTTCCTTGGACATTCTCTGAATATCGTTTAAAACATCTATAGGATTTCACACATGCGGACACTTGTATATCTCTTGATCTCTATCTATTGGATAATTAAAACCGTCGGGGATATCTTATAGTTATTATGATATCCCAAAATGACGACCGTTGGACATCTCTGAGATAAAGTGTGCTGTGTGAACTATTTTTATATCAAAATCGTAAGTTTAATTATACTCAGTAGCAGATTTCAGCCGCTTATAGAGGTTAAGGGGGAATCCTATTATTTCGGCTAAAAATATGACAAAATTTGGGAATTTTTTTTAAGAAACTAGCAATTCGATTTATGTAAAATTTATACTATGTTTTTATTCATGTTTGAACAACTTAATTTTTTTATATTAAATTTTAATGATAAACGTTATTAAATTTAATGATAAAAGTTATTAATAATCGAATATTATCAAAGTTCGTCGTCCATTGGTGTATACGATATTAATCTTCAGGTAATCTGAAACAGAAAAATCAAATCTGCATTTTATTTTATGTACATATATAGCTTCAGTTTGATGAATCAAAATTAAAAAAAAATTATTGCGGAAATCGTATTTCAAATGGTGGAGTTTTCAAATCAGAACTATAATTTTTAGTATCAAATTTACCCATTTCTTTATGTACTAAAAAAATATGTAACTTATCAATATTCTGATTTATCAAATAATAAAGCAATGTTTATTGAACATGCAGACTAAATTTGAAGGTAATCGGTTCAGTGATTACAAAAATATCGTATCCATCTGCAAAAATACTGTTTTGAGAAAACAGCATTTAAAGTTTTATGTTTAGTTTATATAAGTATATCAAGTACTTACATCTTATATCTGTTACTCTGTTATTCCAGGACTATCCCAGGACCCTATAACAACCCTTCCTCATCTTCATAAAATTGATTTTGAGCCATCTGTTCGTTTCTTCATTTTGTTCGAACCTCTTTCGTAGCCTGAAGGCTCCATCACGTTGATCTTTTAAGGTGGTGTTGATCTCGCGCATTGCAAAATATTTTGCTGTTTCCTCCTATAACAATTCCTATCGTTGTCATAATTTTAAGGACAGTATAGAAGCCTTCATTAAAAATTCCGCTGCTAAATAAGTCGCAATTTCAATTATTTTTGCTCCACAATGGAGATGTAGGCACGAATCGCCAGACTATAGAGTTAAAACTCTCATTATTATTTTGTGTTTCAGCAAACATCTTTCTAACAATTCTCTTGGTGACAAATCTTCGAAAATTGGCTTTATGACTTGCTGAACATCTTCATGAAGTAGCAATTCGTGGTTGAATTCATCAAGAGTATTATTATTTTCGGCAACGCGCCATTTACACCAACTATCTGGATATGATATCCCATTGGATATTATATCAGATCCCACAGTACATATGCTGTGAATTTTTATTTTGTCGAGATCTTGTGATAAAATATGGCCCACACAGCATTGTACATGTCATCAATAGAATCTGGACGTCTTCTGATTGCCAATCCGTAATAAATTGTTAATTTTTGTATTAATTTATTAGTTAATTTATTTTCTCTTTCAAGTTTATGAGTTTTCTTTATATTTTTCAACAGTGAACTCATTCGCTTCTCCACATGATCCCTACGCATTTTTTTTTCTTCACTTGTAAATCATCATAAAGATTACTATCTAACAGATCTTTAAAAGAGTCTCCATCACCAATGTAATGAGCGTACTTGACTTCCAACAATTCTCAGGATCGTTGGCACATTTCTTTTACGGCGTCAACTTCCATTTTCCTAGCTGATCCATTATGCAGTACACTCTTCTATGTGATTATCTTTCCAAATTATATATTCCGGAGTCCCAGATTTAGATTCCCATAATTTACAAGCATGACAATAACACAGATTTTACAATGAGATCAATCACTTTGCCTGTATATTTTCCAATAAATGTCGTGATTCCAAACAATGAACTAAAATCTCTCTTCTTCCACGTTCCATCGCCAGAAACAGTTATCTCAATTATTGATTTGCCATTCTCAGAATTTTTAATTTTTTCCTCTTTTACTGCTTTTTATATCAAAAATTAAAAATAACTTTTGCTCCAATATAAATATTTTCCACAGCAGCATAATACAAAGAATTACTAAAACTTTGAGTGATAAATCCATGAGGCCACAAAATAAATTTATATCTTTTTTACTAACGCCCAATAATCTCATGACGAATATAAGTCTCCTATTTATTTCATACAATTTATTGTCAATCAAAGGGCAGGAATTTATATATTTTGTAGTACACTTGCACTGTACTGCTATTTTAAAACCCAAATCACAGCATGCATTAGATTCACCGAAACGTACTTATTCTTTGCATTCTTTACAAATAATAAGTTGAGAAATTGCAGTAAAAACCGATAAGGAAGCGATGATACAATAACCATGACTTGAGTCCATTATAATTTCCTCGTCTTGAGTGCTGGACAATTTTTCTGCTGATGTACTTGCAAATGAAGTATTTATTTCCTGAGTGAATATTACCCGTGAATTTTCTTTTTTTTGGTCTGCTAGCACGTTCATACGTGTTTCGTGAATGTTTGCGATCCATTGTTCTTTATTTTCGTGCGTGCGTCAGTTTCACTCGGAGGTTAAATGACTACTGAAAATTTCACCGTTGAATAACACCGTTGAATAACTGTCCCTAGACTAACCTGACCTTTGTGCTGAGGACAAAACCGGAATAGCTATCGACCATTAAAAATCTTATACCTGCATTTGGTTGGGTACTCGATTGGTTAAGAGCGCCTGAAGTTTTACGAATTTCGATACAAAATTTTATAAAGATATTCTTAAGATATTAAATTAAAAGAGTCTGTAAAAAAAAATAAATTTTTTTACCCGAAAAATGAGATTTCCTCCTTAAAGGAACTCGAACATAGTGTACTATAAGAATGGGTGATCCTTGAAAAAATTGCGTGATATTACAAGTGACATTGCAAGATAAAAAAAATTTTATTATCCATATGACAAAAAGATATCTTGTAGAGGTTTAAAAGATGTTCTTACATGTCTTGTAAGATGTCCTAAATAATTATCGAAAAGATATTTTTTAAGAGTCTTAGTAACACTTTTAGACATTTTTAAGATAGCTATAAGATCTTAAAGACGTCTGAAAAAATATCTTTTCGTTATTAATTAAGATATAGTTATTAAGATATCTTAGAATGCAACCTATGGTTATATCTTAAAAGAATTATCTCCATCCTACAAATTTTGTCGTGATGGAGTTTCTATCCATAATCTTTACATCATGTCTCTATCTGCCGGGAAAGTATCAAACCAAGATGCGCACAATTACCATACTTTCCTCTACATAAAGAAATAAAAAATTGCGTACCTCTTCGTCTTTTTGTAAAAGAAGCCTGTCCGTGTCGGATATACTGTTTTCAAAATGCGGTCCAGAATCTCTTTTCAGTTTGCTGTGAGAAAGAAATGCATATTTTTATCCTTGATTATCCAAGAATGGGACTATAAACTATAACTATTAAATGCAATCGAAGCACAAATCGTACGTTAAAGCGAAGAGTACCGTGCATTTCTAGAAAAGAAATTTTACAACATTCTTCAACTTTTATTAGATAACAGGATTAAGATTATTCTTGAATTGTCATATCATCTAATTTGAAATTATTGCTAGCAGATGCTTTTAATAGTCATGCAAAGCGTACAAGACCTTTGAAAGGATATCAAGCTCAAAAGAGCTAATATAATAGTAACTAGTATAATTGTTATTATTTTATATCTCGAGAAAAATTAAATTAATAAAATAAAAATAATAAAATAAGAATAATAGTTCCGACTATACACTTTCAAGGCCATGTGCGCATTGCGAACGCGCGAGAAGCGTCCGTATGTATATACCTACTGAAATGCAGTATTTATTTACATGCGTAAATACCTCCGTTCCCGGATCGCTTGTTGCGAAATTTGAGAAATACATTGGGCCCGAAAATTCTCGTAGTGAACGTCCTGCGTGACGTCCTTTAGATCCTGCATGTGCGTCGATATTAGCATCGTCCTTAGTTTGACGAAGTCACTGTGCTTTGGATTCTCGACTATGATCAACCAAAATGGAGATGTTAAAAATCGAGCACTGACATACGAAAACCAGAGAGAACTTAATCCCTAATTAAGTTTGATTCGATTCCTTAATAATCCAATTAAAAAGTGGCGTTCTTCTGTCAGAAGAATGCCGCTACATTAAAATCGCTATTCTGACTCAATGATTCTTTTGCCTGCACCCAAGTGCACTCTTGATTTTTTTCAAACAATAATCATCAATGGAGATTTGCGTAGTAAAATTATATTCTTCAATTAGGTAAAACTAGCGCAAGTTTTTCCAAAATATCCCCGTTCATTTTTTTTATGTTATACTTACCTCGCATGTAATTCATGGATGAAACGAGTGCAATTGGAAAATATTAATTCTATGTAGAATGTAAAAGTTCACCTTCCACTACACCCCATGGGTATTGCCGGCCGCGTACTTTCCTCCCCGCAACTTCCAGCACCGTCGAACTTCCGACGACCGCGAAAGGTATACAGGCTTTCAGCTCCTTGTCTTGTTGTTTAAACTCCTCGTCTTCGTCGCTGTCGCAATCCGGAAATTGGTATATCT